GTACAGAGGTAAGGAAGCCAGGTCATAAACTTAAACCAACATCTTCCAGAACAGAGGGCATGATGTTGGCATGAGGTATGTTAGAGGATCACACAGCCTTTGTGCAACCTTGGCACTGCTTGCTGATGACCATGTAATTCGCAGGGGCTCTCAAGTCACTCAGAAATCCAGACCACCTCCTAATACTTTAACATCCTCTGCTCTACTTCAATGTAGCAAACAGGTCTATGAATTAGAAAAATATCTCTCTATACATGTAACAATAATTATAGTTACGTCTTGACTTACTGTGTTAGTATGGACAAATTGGGGTATTACGGACTTCAATTTATTTGGCTGAACAAAAACATTATAACAGCTCTTGCTCATAAATCCTTACAGTGGCTAATCTCAGATGGAAGTTGCGTGGCTACTTGATGTCTATCAAATAGAGGATTTTTTCTTCCAGGTACTGTAGAAATGATAAGGCCTCATGCAATCAGTGAAGTAGCACAGATTCATAGATTGTACAGATGTAAGGGAATATCCTAATCACGTCATGAAGTACATAAAAAACATATACAGAAGTACCACAGACTTCTATCCCTCCTGCTAAAAGGGAGCCTCAACAGTAAAGTCACTGATACTGACCAAATATATTAACATTATTTTCATTACTGAGTGAGGACTTCTAGTCTCCTATTGCTTCTTGAATATGTATTTATATCCAAATTCAATAACAAGACTATTTAAAATAGATGAGTAGGCTCTGTCTCAGTTAAAAAAAAAAAAACCACTAAAACAAAACAAAACTACAATAAAACAAAACAAAACAAAACTGCAAGGAAATTGAAAACACTGTAAGAGGACCCAGCATTTCACAGAATCAAACCTGTGGGATGGGAATAGCTGATTTAGCTTGAAAAGTTAATCCATACAAAATGCATGCACTTCCTTTCTTGCTGTTATATCTTAAGAGGACTTCATAAGGTTATCACCATTTGCTCCCCCTGCCAAAGATAGCATATCTAGTATATGTACTTTTAAGCTAATTTAAAATAAACTCAGGCATTTGTTTCCACTTGCCCTTGTTTCCATGTCAACAGCACTTAATGAATGCATCATTCCAGGAAATGTCAATAAGGAGCAAAGAAGAATGAACAAGCACTGAAAACTTCACACATAGCACACATCCTTCACAATCGTATCGCTTTAATGAAAATAGGTGAGGTCACCTGCAGCATTAGCAAGTGCTTTGTAATACATTCTGACCCAGATGATTTTTCACAGTTCAGTAACACCACGTTTGAAGTTTTCACGGCAAACAATACACCCACAGGACTGACCAAGTGCGGGTACAAGAGAAGCAACCAGCAATTACTGTGTTGACTTCTGTTACTTTGATCTCCGGGTCATGACCTTTGCTTTCACGCAATCTTCAAAGTAGAGACTGTAGAATAGGTTGTTTTAGAGGACGCACTGTTTTGCAAGCTATTTTTCTGTGTTTCTTGCTTCCTGTTTGGGCCAAAAGCTTTTAAATCTTTCCTATCACCATTATATTTTAGATATTCTGCTTTCCCTTGCCCTCACCCCCAAGATATCCCTTTACAAAATATCACCTCCCAAATACAGAAAGCTTAAAAAATAAGATAAAAAGTAAGGACTTACGGCACTGTCGTCCTATCCCTGTCCCTACCCCCCCCCCCTGCCCCCGCCACCCCCCCTTTTTGTATAAAACCTATTTTTTATGAAAAACTAGGGAAAAGCTTTAGTATTGAAATTGATAGAAATGGCATACCTGAGGAACCAGATCGTAACTTCTTGACAAAAAGCATAGTTTTATACATTTTCCAAGTATTTATGATAAAACCTAATTATTTTTAAAAGACGTAATATTACTTTTTATCTCTGTTACTAATATCACAGTAAATCACTGGACCTTGCGTTTTAAAAAATTTGATTTTCCACATTTTTTTAAGGTTCAGATTTTGGGGGTTTTACAGACCTTTTCGGTTTGTTGGAATGAGCAGATTAAGTAAAGCTTTGATTTCTAGCACCTTTTTCTTTCTTCCTGAGGAATTAAATAGCCTGAACTCTAATTGAACTCAGTAGGAATGAAATTAAAGCTCAATGAAAAATGAAGCTGTGGTTCCAATGGTCACTGCAAAAATTTACAAAAAGAAGTTCCTATTCAGAACAAAACAAAACCAGTTAAAGTTTATGGTAAAGCAAAATGTTTACATAATTTGGGTTCATTGAAATGCAATCTTTTGATGCTTTCTGTGTCACAAATTTTCTCAAAAAAAAATTATGAAAAAAAGTTACTTCATTAAAAAAATGCTGAAACTGGCCATTTCAAATGTTTGCTTTTGAGATTTGAAGCAATACATTTGATAAAATACAAATAATTTCTCACTCAGCAGAGCTGGCTGCTGTTAAATCTGTGAGATAAATCTGTACGTTTGGGGGAAGGAATAAAAAAGTTGTGTCCAAGATGCTTCAGAACGTGTATTCAAAACTCTGAATTAGCTATTCAGAGTAAAATTAGCAGAGTACTTTTAATTGGTTCCACCATGTAGGTGAATATATTCCCCTAAAGATAGATAGATAGATGGATGGGTGGGTGGGTGGGTGGATGGATGCTTTTGGTTTTTGAGTCAAATGTTGTCTGGCAAACACATTTCATATAAAGTAACAAATAATTATGGAAAAGGATCAGGAAGCTTTCATTATAGCAGCAGAACCATAAATCATTCAACTAATTAGAAGTCCATTCTTCTTTCTTAAAAGAGCTTTAATTAACCTAGTTTATATGGAAAAAAATACCCAGGTTTTTGAAAAATTGAGGGGAAAGAAAATGGAAGCAATGTTGCAGTTTCCAGCAGATGCATAAATACAATCACTTCACACTTTGACACGGTGGTTTGTCACGATGTGACCTAAAACTACCTTGACCTCCCTGAAATCAACATTTTTGCATTGAAATGAAACAACAGACATGCTTGTTCTTTTGGTTTTTGAGTCAAATGTTTTCTGGCAAACACATTTCATATAAAGTAACAAATAATTATAGAAAAGGATCAGGAAGCTTTCATTATAGCAGCAGAACCATAAATCATTCAACTAATTAGAAGTCCATTCTTCTTTCTTAAAAGAGCTTTAATTAACCTAGTTTATATGGAAAAAAATACCCAGGTTTTTGAAAAATTGAGGGGAAAGAAAATGGAAGCAATGTTGCAGTTTCCAGCAGATGCATAAATACAATCACTTCACACTTTGACACGGTGGTTTGTCACGATGTGACCTAAAACTACCTTGACCTCCCTGAAATCAACATTTTTGCATTGAAATGAAACAACAGACATGCTTGTTTTGATGTATGGCTGTGTGACATATTATAAATATTACATCACATAACCACAGAGGATGTCAATCAATAAAGAATTTTTTCAGACAGCACTAAATGAACCATGGGTTCTTGCCTCTGAATGGCTCCTTTAACATACTACTTTTGCTTAAATGATTAATAGGGGACATATTGTCAGAAAACATACTTAAAGTGAAAAACAGTAAACTGTAGAAATATCATTCATTTTTTAAGCAATTCTCTAGTGCAAATGTCACATAAATTTACATACAGACAGCACTATTAGACTCTCGTAAGCTGGATAGTAGGCATACCTTCCACTTAAGTGTGAAAGCAATGGGAAAATATTTTATTGAATCTAGGCTGCTCTACATGGTGAAAACCAAAATGCTACAGCTAAGCTGAATTCAAAAGTTGAAAGTCTTCAGGCTAATGATAACCTAGAAATCCTTCTCAAAAATTTGGAACAAAGAAAAAAAAGTATATGCACACCCAGGACAGCTCTGCTGCTGTTTCAACCTACAGCATATATGAGCAATAAACTGGTGCATCGAATTCACGCCACTTCCCAATAAACATGCTTTTAGTCTCCGCCACTTTGTATTGTTTTATACTAACTTCTACAGCAGAGTTTGGATTACATGAAGATAAAATCAGAATTTTATTATAGAACTCTGAATACCGCGGGTGATCTGCTAATAAAAAGTAGGCTCAGGCTCTGCAAGGTCGGCAGCATGGTGACCAGTGCTGCTTGGCTCTGACTTGCCTCAGACAGCCATTTTCAGCCAATGTGAAAAATGCCAGCACACAAAGACTGAAATCTTGTATCAGATGTGAGCAAGGAAAAAGAAATCCAATTACTTTTTTTTTTTTTTTAAATAATCACTTGCCTAAAGGTTATACCTATGAAAATTATGTCACTTCAGCAGACATTCCGTAAGTTTTGGATCTATACTCACAGTCATCATGAGTCACGAGTATTTTTATTTTTAAAAAAATAACCCTTGTAATTTTTAGCAACATTTCATTTGGATCAGTTGGACATATAGTATTTTATCAGGCTTCCATATTAATTTCCAGATGGCCTTTTGTGCAATCTAGCTCATTAAAATTACATTCTAGAGATAGTTTGGGGTTTTTTTATTTGAATCCAAACACTAACTGCTCTGAGTAAAGCAGCACAATACAGAAGGAGTCCTTTTTCCTGTGTTCTTTAATACTGCCTTGATAACTATAGTAGAAGAAACTCATCACCATAATTGAATGTTAGCAGAAGACAATACAACTGGCTATCTGAGAGCAGTGATTTATTTTTTTTATTGACTGTCACCCTTAGTGTATGTAAATGTTGCCTTACCTTGGCCTTAAAGGAAAGGCCGTAAGAAGGCACATATGAGCACTCACATTCAGGAAATCCTGCGCACACCTGCTCAACTCAAACATGTGCTATACAGCACTGAAATATTTCTTGAAATAGGGTTCCTGAGAGTGATCTCACTGAAATGGGGTTGCTCAAATTCCCAGATGTTGCATCAGTGCTTTCAGAATAGAGTAGATGTTTGTTTGAGACTCTGAGTTGGTTTTAGTTCAGTATTTTTCCAGTAATAAAACAAAACGGACATACCTTATCATATCTACAAGCAAAAACACTAACCTGTACCTCTGGTAGTCATCTTCATCCTTTTCTTTGCAGACCAGTTCATTTGGGCAGGCCATGTTTCCAAGCAAACTGAGATACTGTAGGGAGGGCACAACTTCAGCCAAATGATCCAAAAGGCTTTCTAATTCTGTTATGTGTCAAAGGTTGTGGGTTAAGGATTCGATGACATTAATGAAAAAAGCATTTAGAGTTGCATCACTGCTGATTTAAACATACATTTCAATAACTGACAATCAAATTTAGTATGGCATTCGGGAAAATGTCACATTAATTGTTCCAAGGGCAAACAGGGATAAACTTCAGTCAGTTTTTTGGCATGGAATGAAAGAATTTGGCTGTTTTGTCATTCTTTTCTCCTCCTTTCTTTCCTAGGTGGTTCTCTACAAAACATTAAAACTTTGACAAAATGATGGATGCTGTGTGGTAAAATGGCTAGCAATTGCTGGAGCCATGAAACTTTTCCAGCATGGAAACAAACAGTTAGTTTCACAGCACATTCATCACTAATATATTCAGTCCACTGGAAAATGAGTTTAAAAAAAAAAAAAAAAAAGAAAAAAGTCAAACCACAACAACCCACTTTCACTCACAGCATATAAATGCTCTGAGTGCCACAGCAACACATTCGTAATTACTCAATTAGTATATGTGAATTAATGCTTCACTAAGTGCAACTTAAAGACTTCAGTGTTACAAGTATTTTATATATGAAGCTTTAAAGTCTTGTAAAGCATAAAATTTTTCATTAAAACAGCCTTATATTTTGGTGTTCATGAGGCTTTTTAACTTAACTATATTCCTTAGAACATAAATAATGATGATACACCTTCAACATTGTAAACTATGTTAAAACAAACAAGCAAACAAGCAAACAAAGGTTAAAATGTATTTTAACCACTGCAATATTGGAAATCACAGCTTAGGTTTAAGCATAACAACAATATTCAACCATTTGCACCCTGTTGATTGATCAAATAAAGCAAATTATTTTGTTGTAGTGTGACAGTCTCTAAGACTCGAACTATACATTCTTATTTACTTCAGTTTACCTGCAAAGAAAAAGGCGTGATTCTCAAAGAAGATGCCATGCATATGCGTGTAAAAAGTTTTCAATGTTTAAAAATTGACTTAGACAATAGTAGTAATTATTCAAAACCATTAAAGGGCATTTCATTGCTCTGTTTTTATCCACTCCTGCTGTTAGAGACGGCAACTATTGTTTTAAATCCTCAGTTCACTTGTGTTGCTATTATTTATACTTGATTTATGTGTTTCTGTTATCTTTGTTATTTTTAGCTGATGGAATTTACTTTATTTCTTCACCTCAATATCTTAAGGGCAAGAGAAGCAATACAAAATGGAAAGAGCAGCTTCATTGTTAAAAATGTGGTCTTCCTTTTGTAAGCCTGAAAGTTTATTTCCAAACACACATGAAGATCATGCTGACAATTACTAATTTTAACATATTAAAATCAATGTATCTACACTCATAGTTAATGTTCTGTCCCATAAGATCTGAAGAATCACACTCAAATATTTTGCGTGAGTGAGAAAAATGAGGGTTTGAAATTAGTTCTATGAATTAATTAAAAAGGTAAAAATGCTAACTTTTAATTTGGCAAAGCCACATTATGGAATGCTATATGCCAGTAAGTAATCAACCAGACCCCAACAAAAACTGTCTTTTTGTAGCACCATATGATATAAATCTTCTTTGTTAGCCAGGATGAATTCCCAATCAAAATTTGGTGCTAATTCTCATCTTCTCACATCTGGAACTCAAGCTCATACATAAACTTTTTCACGGCTCTTTCAGGAGGTATGTGACTGTGATGGGAAGGTCACAAACTTTTTCCACATATGTTCAAGTGAAAGGCTTTTTAAAAATTTCCTAAGACTGTTAGAGAAGTGCTTGAATCTGGCACCCTCCCTCAGCCAGGAGAAACACTTAATTTCTTGCAGGATTGCTTAAGTTGCAAAAAGGTTCTCTGAGAGAAATAGTTTATTATTACAAAAGACAGTTATTTCCATAACAGCAATCACACAGGGGGTTAGCTATTGCAAGGCTTAGATTGTATCTGGCCATTTCCTATTGAAAGGAGAAAAAAACCAAACCAAAACAAAAACACAGCCACCAAACTTTTTGCTTCTTTTATGGAGTAAACAGGCAGAGTTTTTGCTTGTCAATTCAGGAGAGCTTTTTCTGGGGTAGAAGCTTTTCTCCCCAATGATTTGCTGAATGTGGAGTATGACATGTATTCTAACTCTCACCTGACCACGCAGACTTAGGGACAAATATCAAAATGTATTGAGATATGTAATGATGAAGAGCAGTGTCAGTTTAGATTTGCAAAAAGTATAAGACTATGCATCAAAGTCCTATGGCAAGCAAAAGGGAGAGACAGCAAATTCACTAAGAGTTTTGGGTATATAACAGTAGTTGATAATCTGCATCTCAAAAATCTAAATCTTCCCAAATTCGGAAATTAGTGTCTAGATTCAAATATCTCATATCTAAACCCTGAGCATTGATTTTAGATGCAGAAACACCCTCCTAAAAATTATCTCAGGCAAGGATGACTGGGAATCACACACAGACCTCTTACTGTGCAGTTCTGTGTGAGACTCCCCAGATCTTTTCTTTGTTATCGTTTACCCATCTCCCTCCACTAAAATAGATATTTAGCATCCTAGCATTATTTCAATTTCAGCTGCAACAGAAACATGTGCACAGGACAAACCCCAAGAACTGGACATCATCACCTCAAAAGTAGGTGGTCATTAATTCATAGAAAAATTGAAGCTTTGCAGGCTCGGACAGCCCAAAAATAACAGGACACCAGCAACACTTGAGAACAAACCAACCTGTGGCTTATGACAGTCAACTTTGTTGTGCCAGAATCAGCAGTTATAAATAAAATAATTAAAATTTCTGTTGCTTAGGCCTTTAACTATCTTTTCTCATCCCTCTTAAAAACAAAACAAAATGCAAGGTACAGATTATTTTTCCAAGAAGCCCCATCCACCTGCCATCACAGTTACTCTTTACAAAGCAGGTAGGAAAAAATAAATGATATCCTGTTCAAATTCTCATGATTGTTTCTCAGAGATGAGTCATAAGTCATGGTGCATTTCTAGTGTGTTGTTTAGTTAATTAGCATGTCATATACTTATTTTAATCACAATACTGGAACTACACAATGCCACCAAAAGTGTAAAGTCTTTCTAAAACAATGCTAGGAAAATACATGGGGAGAAAATCAAAAGCAAGCCTGAAATGGCATTGCCAGCTTCCTTTTTATGGTTTATTGTTGCAGCCTAAGGAGTGTCATGTTGGTGCAATCAGAGCCAGAGCTGCAAAATCCTGCTGTGCCATTTCTAAGACCAATTTCAGCTCCGTTCTCTCCAAAAAGGAAAGCCACAATTAAATCCATGGACAGTGCTAGCGAACTTTTTTTTATTTATTTAAAGCTCTGTGACAACAGCCCTGAACTGATCTTTCTGAAGTCGGTGTCACTGGTCACCAGGTGAATGTGTAACAGTGATGCAAATACTTACACTATAGTCTATTGTTTGAAAACTGGTTTACAGTGTCACTGCTATGACAATTAAAGTACCTTAGTGTAGCGATCCATCTCCTAATTCAACAGTCACCATTACCAATCTATTAATGCCTCTCTTTCTAACAGAAGTTGACTAAAATAAAAATTTGTAACAATAAAAATTTTAAACTCTTCAGCGCTTTAGCTCACAAGCTAAAACATTAGTTCTCAGCAATTACACAACAATAGTCCCCTCCAAAAACATAACCTGGCCTTCATGAATTATTAACAGAAACATACTAGACATACTTTAAAATTTCATCCTCATCAAAAGACGACTGACTTCTTGCACTATTTCTAGTTTTTAATTAGGGAAACATTTACAAGAACTGGGTATCTCATACTCAGGTCAACTTTTTTAAGCCTCTTTATTATGTCACACGTATGTATACCACACATGCATATTTACAGTAGACTGTTCACAGCATACATACGCACAAGCATACACAACCATATCACCAGAGTTTCTGTTCAGAAAAACAAATGCTACCAACATCACTGAGACATTTAGCAATAGAATTACTTGGAAAATACAGTACTGTGGTAGGTCCAGTTAAGCTGCAGAGCAGTATAATTTTTTGCAAGTTTTATGCGACCAAAAGTATCCTACAAATAAGTATGTTCTGACTTGTCTGTTTTCACTCACTATCTGGTATCCAATACCATAGTTTTTTAGGTTCTCCAGAAGGCAAAAAGAACAAGCAAAAGCCCAAAGCAAACAAAGCATCTCCCTTCTCTGGCTAAGAATTAACTGTCTATGCAAGCTCATAAGATTTTCGTTTGTTTGTTTTCTAGAAAATCCTGTCGCCTGGATTAAAATTCTAGTGCTAGTCAGGACTATGGCCCCTTACAAACACTTCAGAGATTAGTTCCACAGTATTCAAGACTACTACCAAGGAAGGATTGGTGTGATTCAAAGTTAAATTGTCCCCAGGGAATATTACATTTGAACAAGGTCGAAGTTGTAAACTCTGAGTGGATAGTATAATGCCACTTTGCTTAGTCAATTTTAGGAGAACCTCACAAGCAGGGACAGCCATTTTGGTGCTAAGCTGTGTCTTGTGACAGCCAGCATGGTAAAAAGACCATTCTTTTATACTTCTGAGAGGTTGAGTGGATTCACACAGAAACTACTGGATGATGTCTCATGTGTTCCACTATTCGAGACCTCTCTATTCTCGAGAGTCTCTTTAGCTGTGTCCTTTCACTAGTCCCTCCAGCGTATTTCCAGGGCACAGACACTGCATGAATCCTTTCTAGAGAGTAATATAAGGGTCCAGCTGCCTTAAGTACTGAGGACTGATGCTGGTCATCCCCAAACTCCATACTGTTTCCTCTCTTACCGGTATTCTTGGTATAACCATATTCATGGTTGTTCTTCAGGGACAACTGCTGGTCAAACCTATGCTGAAAGAAACACAACCTTTGCTAACAGTTTCTAAATGAAATTATTCTATATAACTCTATACAAATGCTATGCTAATATATAACTGTCCAAACAAACTAACCTATAAATATTTCCTATCTTGCCA